CTGGAACTCACTTTGTAGCCCAGGCTGGTCTCGAACTCACAGCGATCCTCCTGCTTCAGCCTCCCGAGTACTGGGATGACAGGCGTGCACCACCATGCCTGGCGAGTTCCCTCTTTTTAATGGCTAAATAATATTCTATTGTGTGGGTGTACCACACTTTCTTTAACTGGTCTGTCCATCTAGGTGTCAACCTAGATTGATTCTGCCTCATGGCTATTGTGAACAGGTGGCTCACTTCCAAGGACTGTTTGCTTCTAACTGTTCCTCAGGTGCTAATAAAACTAATTCATTTGGAGGTAAATAAATTTTCAGATATAAACAAACTCTCTAGAAGTGATGTTATCTTTGAAATTTTTTTAGACTGGGATGTACCACAGTGGTGCCATGCCTGCCTGAAATTTTTTGATATGTAGAAATTTCTCATATCACATGGGTGCACATATTTTCTCAAGGACTATATATATATACTTGTCAACCACAGGAAATAACTGAACAATTAATTATCACTGTGATTCTTGGCTCAGTGATTATTTTATGTGTTTAATTTTTGTACCCCTGGCTAGTAAGCTCCTGAACTACATACGTTCCTTGTTTGTTTGTTTGGTTTTATTTATTTCACTTAAATTTATTTCACAGGGTCTCACTATGTAGTTCAGACTTGAACTCACTACATAGTCCATGCTGGCCTCAAACAATCTTCCTGTCTCAGCCTCCCTAGTGCTGGGATTACAGGTGTGCGCCTGGCAGGGAAGCCCAGTTTTTAAGGGTGAAAAAACACACAATAGAATGTCATGTTCTCATTTTTGAGCAAGCACTGGGGTACAGAAGCAGATTGCATGTTAGATTAAAACCAGTTTTTGCAATCTGGCAGGAAATCCCTATCCTACCAGGAATGCTTTTTTTTTTTTTTTTTTTTTTTTTTTGGTACTAGGGATCAAACTTGGGCCCTTGCGCTTGCAAGGCAGGCAGTGAAATCACTGAGCTAAATCCCCAGCCCTTGGAAATCCCTATCTTTAAGGTTAGGGCCACAGTATAACAAGTCCTGTCCTTTATTCTTAACCACAAGGTAAGCTATGTGCTGGTTAACTAAACGCTATGAACAAGCAGTCTATGGAGGAAAAGGGTAAAGGTCAGGCACAGGCTGGGGGCGGGGTTCTGGTTAACTTGCTTACTTCACAAGTTTCTTGGAATAAATTGTTCTGAGCTAAATTCCTGTCTTGGTCAGAGGCCATGGCTCCCTTTGTTGTTTCTGATGTGCACTGCCAGAACAATTTAAATAACAACCTAAGCCTCTGAAGGTTAGGTAACAGCACTGTGCTCTGAGTTACAGCCCCAAAGCCTTCCTCTCAGTGACTTTTCAGGCCTCTCAGTTTTCCTTGGCTTCACCAAAAAAGATTTTTATCACTTATTTTAAAAAATCACTTCCAATCAGAGAGAAACCAGGCAGTAGTGAGGTAGGACAGGTGAAATAAAGAGAAGTACAAAGGAGACTCAAGTTTTTGGGCCTCTCTCTTACCTTAAAACTCTAGGTCAGATCTCTGTTCACTTTGGGAATGTTTTATCATTTAGAAAAAGTCGGCAAAACAAGGTTTTCTAGTCCTAAATTAACTTCACCTGTCCTACCCACTGACAGTTTCCTTAAGTCAGACCCCAGCCCAACCAGAAGGGAAACCTTCCTTAAACAGACCCGCTACCCACATCCACAGGAGCATAAGGATAACAGCAGTCACCGTGGCTGCTCCTACCATCACCCAGGGGACTCTAAATTGTCCGCCCTCTGGACCAGTGCCCCTCCCTTACCTAAACTCCCCCATATCAACCACGCACACCCGCCTCTCAGTGCCCATCTGCACTCAGATGACAAAAAACTCATCACACATTGCTTGAACTTTGCCTGCCTCAGTGGTCTCAATCGTGCCTCGGTCTGACCTTACACCCACCTTCTGCCCTGAGGACATCAAAATAAGAACTATCTGGGCATGATGTCACAGGCCTGTAATCCCAGCAATGAGGGAAGCTGAGGCAGAAGAATCAGGTCCTTCTTGGGCAACTTAGTAAGAACTGGTCTCAAAAAATAAAGGGCATGCTTGTAAGCCCACCACTCAGGAGGCCGAGGCAGGAGGATCATTTGGTAAATTGAAGCCAGCCTGAACCACATAGTGAGACTGTCTCAAATTAAAAAAATAAATAAAAGAGTTGCATATATAATTTAGTGCTAAGCCCTAGTTTTGCGCAATCCCTAGGACACCACCCCCTACAAAAAAAAGTGAAGTAGTTTTTGGGATTTACAGGGACATCAGATTACCAGCTTCTACAACACTGAGTTCCAGACCACAAGAACTGTGCCTACAAGTGTTGGATCATTGTCCTAAATCTGAAGCTACCTTGGATCCCAGGAAAAGCAGAGCCTCATGGACGAGGTCCCCCCTCCCCCAGGGAAGAACAGTCTTTTCACAGGCACCAAAGTGTCTCTCCAGCCATAAGGGTTCCTCCAGGCCATGGAAACCGGGACTGAGGAACTGATAGATGAGATGCTGGCCCACCTCAGTCCTTAAAAGCTGGCCTTGTGCTTTTGAGAGGGTGCCATTCTGAATCCCCACATCAGACTGAGCCCCTCCAGTTATTCTATGTGGAGTTTCTTTCTTCTCCCTTTCTAACTTTGCCTGATAAATCTGCATTTAATGTGAGTCAGAAACCTACCTGGTGGACCAAACTGAGGTCTCTGTCTCCTCTTTGGAGGACCTCCTCAGACCCCATCCCATGACAGTAGAAAATGCCTATTTTTCTGGAACACAACTGAATCCTTACAAGGCTAGGTCATGATTTTGAATAGAGATGATCTGATGGATTATAGAATGAAAACTGTATACAGAGTAAGCTTGGTGCCTCGGAAGGAACTCGGTAAGTTAGAAGCGAGAAGGATTCTGATCCTAGCTGAGTTTCCGCAGGCAGGTGTTGAGTTCTCAGTCACTTCCTGTGGATGCCTCAGAGGAGATGGTGGGAGGCTTCTCTGCATGCAGGTTAACTTGAATTCATGTCCTGGGGGTCAGCCCTCCAGAGAGCATATGACAGGCACTGCAAAGAACTGCCTTCTAAACCAGTACCAGAAGGCTGATCGTATGAGGAATATGGGCATTAGAATATTCACTGTCATCCTCTTGCCTCACCTCCTGAGTGCTGGGATCACATGTGCGCAAACCCAGCTTTGCATGACACATTTTTTTATGCACAGATGGAAATAATCAGAGACCACCAAGGAGATAAAGGGCAGGTGCACTTCTGGGCCTTAACTCAGGATCTGAGTTAAAAGTATTTTATGTTTTCTTCTCTTCACTCTCCCAAACCATTTTATTGACCTCAAAAAACCAGGACCATCATGAGAGTCAGGACACCATTTCTATAGTGATGGTCTCCAAGCATAAACTATAGAAGAAAATGAAACTGTTGGATAACGTCGTAGGGGGACAGAAGACAAACAAGGTCTCGGGCACTTCACCTGTTACTCATTACTGAAGCAGGATTTCTGTTCCCTTCTGAGGCAGTCAGGGACTAGCACTTTTGTTAAACCAAAAGAAATAAACAGAAACCAGATAACTTCACTTGGGCCTACAGATGCTCAATGAGTAACTAAAATCAGGATAAAGCTTGATATCGCTGCTTTCCTTTTGTGTCTATCTCCTCTACTACCTTAAAACTTTGGGTCACATTCCTGCATATAAGAATTTAGCATCTGTCAAAAATTGGTTAGATGAGGTTTGAATGTTGAATTTACCCGATTTATCTTGTCTTCCTTCAAGACTGAAGACACTAGGTGCATGGCATCCCCAGCCATTGCCCTAGCCCCAAAGATACCTTGGATTCCTGCAGAGCCTCCATGAAACTGAAACCACCCCAAACAGGACCAGGCATCTCATGGGAACCAAGACTTTTTTCCAGAGCTGCAAATAGCAGAACTGAGATAATGATCAACCAGACCAGCGGTGCCGAGCCTATGGCACCAGTGCCACAGTGGGCTGCCTGTTACCACTGAAAGCTCCGAAAGCTTTGCCACCACTGCACTGGACTCTAGTCCACTTCAGCAGCCCCTTGAAAGCTTGAGCCTTGTCTTCTGCCGTAGCCCAGTCTGGTCTTCTTCATCAGAGCTGTGCCCCCTTCAGCTTTTCTCCTCCAGCTCAGATCTTTTCCCATTTTCTTTCTTTCCAGTGAAAAAAGCTTTTGTCTATAAAAGTCATATTGTTGCCTTGGTTTTCACTTCCATTATCACTGAAACAAGCACCCACACTAGCCAGTGACAGGACAAACCATAACGGTATCTTCCCTGATCCTATCCTTGGAATTGTCACTCTCCGTACGAAAATTATTCATTCTCTTCCCTGCACGGTTGCTCTGAGAAGAAAGGAGAATGACTTGGAAGTTTTTGCTCAGGTTACAGACTCTATTTTCAGAGATCTTCAAGAAAAGAGTTCACACTGGGTAAATTTATTATCAATTGACTTCATAGTTTTTGTTGTTGCTTTGTTATTCTGAGATGAGGGTTTCACTGTGTTGGCCAGGCTGACCTGGAGTTCCCGAGCATGAGCAATTCTGCCTCAAACCCTCGAGTAGCTGGAACTGTCAGCGTTTACCACTGTGCTTTGTATGACTTGATAGATTTTATTTTTGTTTTTGAGATAGGGACTTGCTATATAGTTCAGGCTGGGTTTGAAATCACTCTGTATCCCAGCCTGGGGTCAAACTCACTATGATCCTTCTGCCTGAGTGCTGGGATTACAGGGGTGTGCCATCACACCTGGAATGACCTGATAAGATTTAAAATTCTTCTGTGCACTGTGACCCTGTGACTCTAAATCTGTAAGTAAAACTTTCACAGATGTTACATCCAATCGCTAAGTTATTGGTGATGTCAGAAATGTCATACCTCAGTTATCTTTCAAAACTCCAAGCTTAATGTGGCTGCCAGGATCAGAATTAATTTTCAGTTCAATTCAGAATAGAATTACCTTCTGTTCAATTGCAGATAATCTTTAGATGGTGGAAGATCTCTCTGAGGAGTGAGTATCGATCTGCAAGACCTGGAGAAGAAAAAGACACTCATGAAGACTTCCTAGATAATTCATATCTTCAGAGTAAGGAAAGGAAAACATTTTGTAGTTCCTGATGTCTGGCTCTCTATAATTAGTGAAAGGTTTTTCCTCAATGCTGGGGATTGAACCCTAGGCCTTGTGCGTGCTTGACAAAGGCTCTTCCACTGTTACATCCTGAGACCTAGTCACAGAAGTATCAAATTAATCACCAGTTGAAATAGTGATGTGTAATTATGTTTTTAGATATAATAGAATGTTGGATTTGCTTTTTTTTTTTTTTGTACTGGGGATCGAACTCAAGACCTTGAGCTTGTGAGGCAGGTGGTGGCACCACTGAGTTAAATCCCTGGCCCTGAATTTACTTTATTTTTCTTTTTTTTTTTGGTTTTTAAAATTTTGTTTTATTTATTTATTTATTTTTGAGACAGGGTCTCACTATGTAGTGGCAACTGACCTGGAGCTCACTATGTAGCCCAGGCTGCTCTCCAACTCACAGCAATCCTCCTGCCTCAGCCTCCCAAGTGCTGGGTTTACCAGAGTGCACCACCAGGCCCAGCTTTGTTTTACTTTTTGAGAGAAGGTCTTGCTACATAATTCAGGCTGGCCTTGAACTAACTAGGTAGCCCACGCTGGTCTTGAACTCCCAGAAATCCTCCTACCTCGGGCTCCCAAGTGCTGGGATTGCAGGTGTGTACCACCATGCCCAGCCATAATGTGGGGTCCTTAAAACACAGAAAACTGTTATTTTATCCTAAGTTAATTTTTTTTTGGAAAACCCTTAAAAATGTTTAAGTTTCTAGGTTAATATGTAGATTCCATTAAAAAAGTTACATTATATAAATGCAATTTTTCTACAGTATTTGATTAAGATGGGTTTCCTTTAGTTAAAAATAAATTAAAAGGCTATTTGATTTTTTTTTTTTTTTGTACTGGGGATCGAACTCAGGACCTTGCACTTGCAAGGCAGGCAGTGGAACCACTGAGCTAAATCCTGGCCCTAAAAGGCTAATAATAAAATTATCAAATCCTTGAATTCTTTTGCATCTGGCCACTCATTAAAGTATATGTATTTCTAAGAAAATAAAGAGGGCGTGGGGATGTGGCAGAGTGGGAGAGCCTTTGCCTAGCATGTGTAAGACCCTGGGTTCCACCCTGAGCACCTCACTCCCCAATAAAATCTGTGTTTTAATTTTCTCGTGCTGGGGATCAAACCCAGGGCCTGGCACACACTAAAGCTTGTGCTCTACCACTGAGCTACATCTCTAACCCCTCCCTTTCTTTTAGCACCAGGATTTTCTTCAGAAGTAATCTTAATCAAGTAGAACTTTAGATTTAATGGTAATTTCTCTTCAATTTCCCCCTCTGTTTTTTTTCCTTTTATCAAAACATAAACATAAGATAAACTTGTATAGCATGCACAAGTTCCTAGGTTCAATTCCTACTACTGGACACATACACACACTTGGTAACGCACACACACACACACACACACACACACATGAATTAACTTATATATCTAAAATTTTTTAAGAGTTTGAGTAGACAGCAATTCATGAACTGAAAAAACATAAGCAGTTTTGCCCCTCCATTAGGACATAAAGTGAGACTTTTACAGAGCTGCAGAAGTAAGACAAAGAAAATATGGATTGATCTAAATAGAAAGATACTAATCATGGACTAGCTGGCAGTTTCTGACTGGCTAAATGCTCCATAGAGGTTAGCTGGCGGTTTCTGATTGGATGAGCTTCCATTTTGTTTTCCTGGGCTATGATCTTTCATTCGAGTTGGGTTTTAATTTGCTTAGGGAAGAACTCAGAGTACCAGAGCCACCTCAGCCTAATGATCTCCCACTTATTTTTACCACTCCTCAGTATGAGAATCTCGAATTTAAAAGTAGGCAGAGGGCCGGGGATTCAGCTCAGTGGTGCCGCTACCTGCCTTGCAAGCGCAAGGATCCAAGTTCGATCCCCAGTACTATAGCAAACAAAAGCTAGGCAGAAAGGTACTTTCATAAACTCCCATAACCCCTTAACCCATCCTCAGCAATACTCAAGACGTGGCCAAACCCTGTACACAAACCAACTGTTCCCACTGGACTGTCTTATTTTTGGTACTGGACATCAAACTTAGGACTTGCGCTTGCAAGGCAGGTAGCAAAACCACTGAGCTAAATCCCCATCTCCTAAACTTTTATGGATTCTTCTTCTTTCTTCCTTTTTTTTTTTTTTTTTTTTT